ATGTGGGTCAGAGAACTGTGCTCCATAGAGTTTTCAGTAGCTGATTTTTCAGAAGTAGATCGTCAGCCCCTCTGATGGAAGAATGTCTGAGGCTCAAAACGGGAAGATCATTCACTCAAGGCTATCCACTCAAGGTCATCCAGCAGCAAGAAGGAAAGAAAATCACCACTTACTTGACCAGGGCAGTGGTGGTTTAGTGGTAGCATTCTCACCTTCCACGTAGGAGACCGCGGTTCAATTCCTGCCCATGCCCCAGCTCCCCCAGCTGAGCATCCCCTCCACCCCCCCACCGCCCCCTCCCATCCTTATCAACCTGCTGAACCTCCCATTAACCGAGGTGAGGTCTGACCCCTGGTGCTTAATAAATGTTGCTCCCTCCCCCCCAGCAGGTGTTGCCTGGCTAGTGAGGAGCGGGTGAGGGGTTCTCGAAGAAGTCCATCCGCCATCCACCAAATAAAATCCCGCACCTGCCCACACACCCGCTATTTAACTGTTCATAGAGCAGTAAGGAAACCCCAGAGACAGTGAGGGGAACGGGAAGGAGTTGCCTCGGTGACAAGTGGTGGCCCATGATAAGAAGCTGACTCGCAGGGGCGTCCTTGTGCCTCCTTGTGCCTCCTCGAGAAACGCACATCTTTTCGACACGAGAGCCAACTCCGACAACATGTTGTGAAACTCTTGCGCAAACTTAAGCAGAAACACCGGGCCGAGGCGGCTGGGAGTCATCGCTCAGTGTTGCTGTAATGTGGTGATGACTCTAATTCCTCCAGAGTGTGCAGAACTTGTCTTGAAAACTCAGCTGTATTTGACATGACGTGTTTTCTGCCGGATTCCTGAGTGCTTGCTCTTAGGGGCAGGGCCAAGGAAGTGCACACAATCGCTGTACCAGCCCCCAGCGGCTGGTTGCTAAGGGGAGAGGAGGGCTAGATTCTAGAAGACATCTAGGGAAGAAAAAAAAAATTAAAGGATACTAGAAATGCTTCATAAAACAGATGGTCAGCGGAAAAGAGGAAGACCCTCCATAAGATGGATTGACACAGCGATTGCAATAATGGGTTCAACCAAAAAAAACCAAACCCGTTCCGGGGAGTCCATTCCGACTCATAGTGAGCCTATAGGACAGAGTAGAACCGCCCCATAGAATTTCCAAGGAGCAGCTAGTGTATTCGAACTGCCAACCTTTTGGTTAGCAGCTGTAGCTCGCAGTAGGTTCAGACATAGCAACAACTGAGGATGCTGCGGGACCAGGCAATGTTATGTTGTTATACATAAGGTTGCTATGAGTGTGAGCCAGCTCAACGGCAGCTAACAACAGAAATGGCCAGGATGCAGTGAAAGGAGATTGTAAGCTCTCTATGAGCAGAAACAGGCTGTCTACATCTTTAGTTTCCACTCTAAGCCCACCAGAAGAGACGGTTCTTAATATTTATTTGTTGCTGAATTCATCATAGTGAAAGGACTCACTGTCTAGTCAGTTGCTCTGACTAAAAACTTTTGATTTACAAGTTTCCTGAGACCTTAAACACAGCCCAGTGCTGAGATAGTAAATGGGAAGCTTCATATGTCCCACTTATCCATTCCTCTGCCTATGACAGACATCACCAATCAATCACAGCACTGTTTCTCTGCTGAACCTGAATGAAATCAATTAATATCAATGTGGATTAGGGGTAAATTACTCGCCTCCTTGACCCAGACTATTAATGTTGGGTTGTTGGGAGAGGTGGAAGAGCCATGGGAAAGAAATGAAAATGAGAGTATGAGGAGGGTACAGGGTCACAGACATAGAGCTGGTCCCTACCCTTCAGGAACTAACCAGTGACACTTCAAAAGAAGGAGAGGAAACTACCCTTTTCCTCATGGGGAAGTGGTGGTTTAGCGGTAGAATTCTCGCTTTCCATGTGGAAGACCCAGGTTCCATTCCCGGTCAATGCACCTCATGCACAGCCATCACCCATCTGTCAGTGGAGGCTTGCGTGTTGCTACGATGCTGAACAGGTTTCAGCAGAGCTTCCAGACTAAGACAGCCTGGGAAGAAAGGCCTGGTGTTCTACTTCCAGAAGTCAGGCAATGAGAACCTTATAGATCACAACCGATCATGGGGATGGCACAGGACCAGGCAGCATTTTGTTCTGTCACGCATGGGGTTGCCATAAGTCAGGGGCCAACTGGACAACAGCTAACAACAACTACGTATATGTACATGTATATGCATGGAGTCCCTGGGTGGGGCAAATGATTAACACACGCAGCTGCTATCTAAAAGGTTGGAGGTTCAAATCTACCCAGAAGCACCTCGGAAGAAAGTCCTGGTGATCTGTTTCTGGAAATCAACCAGTGAAATCCCTATGGAGCACAACAGTCTAATCCACACCCAATCATGGGGATGACACAAGGTTGGGCATTGTTTTGTTCTGTTGTGTATGAGGTTGCCATGAGTCAGAGCCAACTCAATGGCAGCTAACAACAACTGTTTTACAGATGAGGCAAAACCACTTGCTCAAGGTCACACAGCAAGAGATAAGTGGCCAAGGCCAAACTTGTGGTGGCCTTCCAGGAGCCCAGCCTTGGTGAGAAGGTTTCAGAGGGGATTCTCACCACCTTCAGTGCCTGCGCCTGGCACTTTGGCACCTCTGGGTCCCCAGCGCTGGCAAATAGGGCTTATCAGCAAGTGTTTGCTGAATACACAGTTGGCTAACTCACAGTAGAGGTGGAGCCCCTCTGAGGCTCCTTCCAGACAGGATGGTCTAGGTGTGGCCCCTGGGGTTCCTTGAAGCCTGTGTTGTGCTATCTCCACCAGCAGCCCTGACTATGGGGTCCAACTGGTGTCCATGGCACCTCCTGGCTCCAGAGAAGGCAAAGTGGCCAGAGAAGGAAGGGGAGGCCTGGGGGAGACCCCCAAGAGCTATTCCTGGCCTCATCTCATCCTGTGAGGACCCCAGCCTGGAGCCATCACTGTGCCCCTAGCCTTGGGCCTTGTGGAGGCTCAGAGTCATCTGCATAAGGGGCCATGAGTCCAACCTTTCTGGTCCGATGACATCAGTTTGCAGGGACTGGCTCCACCCCTCACCGTGAGTGTGGGACAGCAGCTGACTGCAACCAGGACACCTGCAGGCCAGAGCAGTGGACCCTGGAGTCCAGAAACCAACATCTGATCCCAGCTCCAGGTTACTGCCTTGAGATGCTTTCCCTCTGATACCCACGTGGCTCCTTCTTACTTTCTGCAGGTCTTGACTCAAACATTACCTCCTCCATAAGGCTCTGGAGCCAAAACTTCACCACCTCTCCCGCTACACATACACTCACTTCCTATCTCCCTCCCTGCCTTATTTTTCTTTCTGAACTCTATCGCAACACAGGTCCCTGGGTGGTGCAAATAGTTTACGTTCGACTACTAACTGAAGGGTTGGCAGTTCTAACCCACCCAGCAGTGCCACGGAAGAAAGGCCTGGTGATCTGCTTCCAGGAAGTTTCCAAAACCAAAAAAATCGGTTGCCACCAAATTGATTCGAACTCATGGCAACCCCATGTGTTACAGAGTAGAATGGCTCCATAGAGTTTTCTTGGCAGAAGTAGATTGCCAGACCTTTCTTTAGCAGCACCACTGAGTGGATTAAAACAGTCAACCTTCAGGTTAGTACTCCAGCACAAATTGTGCCACCCAGGGACCCAAGAAAACCGCATGGAACACAGGATACATCTTAATTGTCTTGTTTGTTCTGTCTCCCCCAACAAAGTGGAAACCCCTGAGGGTAAGCATTTGGTCCATCCTGTTGGCTGCTGTGTCCCAGGTGTCTAGATGGTACCCCACACAGTCACAGCAGGAGAGTGACAGTCCCTGGCCAGCAGGCTGAGGTAAGGAGGGAAGAAGGTGGTGTGTACAGGGCAGCCACCCGGGAGTCCCCCTGGTGCTGGGGCTGTGGTGGAGGAATGATTGTTACTTGTCCTCTGAGTCTCTTCACTCATGCAAGGCAATAACTAAAGGTTTCTAGTTGGTAACGTGTAGGTTTTGTACAGGGTAATGGGCACAAGCGTCAGGGGGCTGGGCCACTGGCCTCCCTTTCAGAGACCGGGGGCCCTGTCCCCCATCAGTTTCCTCCAGGTCTGGATCCCCCTCAGAAGAGGAGGCCCAATCCCTCCACCCATCAGGGGTCTTGAAGTGGGGGGAGTCCATCTCCCCATCCATCGGGGGTCCGAGGAACCATTCGAGGGACGTCGGGTCCATCTCCCCAACCATCAGAGATCCTAGAGACACCCTCACAGGCAGTGAGGTCCTGTCTCTCCCCCAACAGGTGTCCCAGGGATCCCCCTCCCAGGCGTCGCAGAGCCCAGGCTCCCTATCCACCAGGGGTCCTGGGAATTACTGGAAGGCAGTGGGGACCCCATTCATCAGTGGTCCCAGAAACACCCCTCCCTTTGGAAATCAGAGATCGAGGGGCTCAGCCTCTCCATCCACCAGGGGTCCCGGGAACCACTCGAGTCATCTCTCCAATCATCAGGGGCCCTGGGGGGCGGGGCGTCCCCCCACCATCAGCGGTCTCGGGGACATTCCCCCGACCCACACACACAAGGTCACAGCACCCAGTTTCCCAAGCCAGCAGGAGCATAAGGAGGCCGCGGGGCGCGTGTGGCCGTCAGGGTCTCGGGTACCCTCCCGGCTCTCCCTGGCCTCAACCAGGCGGGAGCCAGGGATCCCTGGGCATCCCGCCGCTGTTGTGCGCGCATGTTGACGGCGTAGCCGGGGAGACCGACGGGGGCGGGCCGGCAGGGGGCGCGGCCTGGCGGCGCTAGAGGGGCCTGGCCGGCAGAGCACAGAGCCCGGGCGGCCGCAGCGGCCCGGCCGCTGCTGCCCGCCGGCTTATATACTGCGGCTAAATTTAGGCTGCGCCCCGAGCTCGTCCCCATCCGGGACGCGTTTCCGCCGCCGCCGCCGTGGCCCGGCCTCCCGCGCGCGCGCGCCTATAAGACTGGGCGGGCCCGCGGCGGCCGCAGAGCCGTCCCGCCCGCGCCCCAAACCATTCGCCCGGCCACCGCTCGCTTCTCCGCGTCCGCGCCCGCGCCTCCCGGGCCATGGCGCTGAGCGAGCCCATCCTGCCGTCCTTCGCCACGTTCGCCAGCCCGTGCCGCGAGCGCGGCCTGCAGGAGGTGAGGGCGTGGCCGGGGAAGCCGGGGCGGCCCGGGCTGCAGGCGCGGGCTGTAGAACGCGGGCGGCGGGGACATCGGGGCGGCGGGCGCAGGGGGCAATAGAAAGCTGGGGGCAGAAGTGGCGCGCACGGTAGGCAGCGGAGAAGGCAGGGACCACAGGGTACAGCAAGGACAGCGGGCGCAGGAGGCAGTAGGGCAGTAGAATGCGGGCGGCAGCGACCGCGGGCGCCGGAGATGGAGGGGCAATAGAAGGCGGGCGGCGGGGACGGCAGGAAAATCCGGACGATAGAAGGCGGGGCAGTAGAACGCAGGCTGTGAGGACAGCGGGCGCGGTGAGCAGCGGGGAAGGAAGGGACTGCGGGGACTGGGGACGGCGGGTGCCGGGAGAGGCAAGGAAGGCAGGGACCGCGGGGACTGGAGACAGCTAGCGCAGGATGCAGTGGGAACGGCAGGAAAATTGGGGCGGGGGCGGGGAGGCGTAGAACACCGGTGGCATGGACAGCGGGCGCGGGAGGCGGGAGGCAGCGGGGCCCGGAGGCAGCGGGGCCAGCGAGCTTGGGGACGGCCAGGGAGTAGAACGCAGGCGGCGGCGATTGCAGGGACATCAGGGCAGCGGGCGGCGAAGAAGGCAGAGACCGCAGGGGCAGGGATGGTGGGACCAGGGAAAGCAGGAATGGCGGGCGCGGGGGGCGGCAGCGATGGCGACCAGGGGTCCACCGCGCGCTCACGCCCGCGCCTGTCGCCCTGTCGCCCACAGCGTTGGCCGCGCGCGGAACCCGAGACGAGTGGCGCCGACGACGACCTCAATAGCGTGTTGGACTTCATACTTTCCATGGGGCTGGACGGCCTGGGCGCCGAGGCTGCCCCGGAGCCTCCTCAGCCGCCGCCGCCCGCCTTCTACTACCCGGAGCCCGGC